AAAATGAACTACTGACTTACAATAATACAGTATCTTTTTTTATTATTCAAAAGAATGGCATTAGCACTTCTGTCTCAAAGCTCTTATGTCCTAGGTTTGATTAATGCTTAGGGTGTGTTGATTTTCTTCAGATGCCATGGTTATCCTCCACCTCCCAAAATCATGCTGACTAGGTTCATTGACCTCACCGCACTGAGGGATCTAGGTGTTGTAGAATATATTCGTCGTGGCCTCCACTAGATGGGGCTGTTTCCATGTGAAATGCAATAATGCAGCATTGTAAGCGTTCAGTATTGCAGAAGTTCGAGGGGGGAGCTACGTCAACTCGCGTTGGCTGCAGAGAGCAACTAAAGATTGTTCATGCTGAAAACTAGAAAGAAAGTTGTGGCTGTTGAGAGTTCTTCTGGCATTTGTACTTGAAGAAGGTTCAACACAGCCAAACCACTGTTAGTTCTTTCTGTTTTTCAATATTGCAATGCACACGAGGGACACAAGCTAGGAGGTCATCTGAATTAAAAGGAAAGTAATTAAAAGTTGATGGTAGCTGCAGCGTAAATGTAGCTCTTTCCCTGTTGTGATCTGACATTTTGATCATGTGGTTTTATGTTCTCTTCCTTTATGGTCAGGTCTACCTAAAGGTAATTGTACAGTATCTGTGTTCCTGAATGCAAGTGTCTGGAATGTCCCTTTTTACGTAGATATTGGTGTTTGTTTTTGTGTCCCACTAAAAATTGCATGATATAGAGAGTTTTTGATCTGTTGCAGTGTAAAAGTTAACCATTTGAATTACACAGTAAAACCCTTAGGGTAGAAACAGCACAGAAAAGATGAAAACACTATAGTTATTACAGAAGTTGTTTTACTCAGCTTTTTAATGCATCTACCTCAAAAACGTCTATTTTATTGTGATCGTTTTTCAAAAAGAGCAGAAACTTATCAAATGAGCTAAGTATATATGACACAGCTGCAGCTAGTGTTCCTCTGTATTTTGTGTTGCTGCTGTGGTATATAGACATCAGTTATCCAATTGGTACATCAATATCTTTATTGCTGTCTCTTTGTGTCTTTCCCTGCCATGCAGCTCCCTAAATGAGATCCCCTAGTTGACCCCTGTTTTAGTTAGTAATTTGAACACAATACTACAAACAGAAGTCTAGGTTTGGCAGTTGGGTCATGTAAATTTAAAGACAGGTCACTGTAATACAAACTCTGATACATCTTCTTCCCTGCTGTTTCTGCCGGTCAGAGTCATGGCATTCCCCATGGTGTATTCAGGAAACTGGGGGAAATCCAGTGTGTTTTGCATGTTTCAAGTCTATTCCTGTTGAAGTGTGTTACATGAAGCACAGGGGTGTGTGTGGTTGCCAGACGACAGCCGCCACCAGACACTATTCTTGCTAATGCCATCAGCCTCTCCACAGCCCTTCGTGATCCCCGATGATGAGCAGATGGAACCTCTCCCTCCCAATCCCTTCAGCCAGCTGACGGAGAAGGAGCTGGAGGAGTACAAAAAAACCGTGGAGCGCCGGCAGCTGGGTATTGAGGGTGAGGCATCCGGTACATTGAGAAACACTGCACCCTGGAACCTCAGTCCTGGTCAACCGAGAAGTTCTTATTCCTTTTTGAATACATCAGAGTTTAGTTGAAATGCTCATATCTTAAGCAATGTGATATCCAAGCCAATTCAAATCATTTTTTGGGTAGGCCGAGTAGGCCGTCAGTACATGACAGCACAAATCTGGTTAGGGGCTGCTTTGCTGTCTGCATTGCTCCTACGTGTAATATAACCATGAGTAGCACATGACCAGAAAGCATCAGTTCACAGCATGGAGCTCTGAGGGGACCAGACAAATACTAATGTTAGCTCTGTACAAAGTCCATCCATTTGCTCTCCATTTAATTACCTCTTTCGGATTTGTTGATCTCTTCAGTTTAAAAAAGGTATTGGAGAACCCTTTTTTTTTTACAATTGATCACTTTTAACCGTATAACAACTGCTTTGTGTCCATCTAATTGTGGTCTTTCTCTCACAATCATGGTCCCCAATTTATACTTTGTACTGGTTATTAAGAAATAACTTTAAAGCATGATTTTAATGTATAACATTTGATTTAACCTACTAATGTTAAATTGAAGCACAACAATAACACATAAAAAACATCAGATTGTGCATAGACAGATGATGTGAAATGAACCGTGACTTGTTTGGAAGAATCTTTTGTAATTGCATTTTCACCATTCGGAAGAATTTATTAACAAGATGATGATCAAGATGGTGATAAAATGTGCACACTCCCATTCGTAGCCTTTTGCATCACATTGATATGATTTGTGTGGGTTAGTGCTGACAATGCAGATAATAAAACCATGCCAACTAATTTCCCTGACTACTGTATTAACTAAAGACCTGATGGCTGTGCATGGCTTCTAATATGTTTGAACACTAAACTCTCCCTTTTCAGATGCTGAGCAAGAGTTAACATCTGACGATGGTTCCACTCTGTCTCAGTCTCAGTCACAAACTCAGTCTCCGCAAATCACTCCGGCTAAAGAAGGTATCGGGCATGACAGGGAAAGGGGAACTTTTTATGACCAGCTGAAATATTTATTGCATTTGTTTCATTAGTGCAGTAGAAGAGATCCTGTTCATGATGTTAACCTTGTTACCCTTCCAGACTCCATTATAAAAAAGTACAGCACACTAGAGAAATCCAAAGTGTAGTATAGATGCATCTTTAAAATACAGCGTGTGCATATTTAACCTATTCAAGTGTCTCCACTATGGAAAGAAATCAATGGAAGTTTTAAATGCAAACAAGTAGCGTTAATGTTCACTGGTGTGTAGTCTGCTATCGCTGTTCTTTGGGAACAAGTTTTCAACGGGCCCAATTATATTTGTTCATTGCTTCACATTACACATTCTTACTATTCAGTCATTTAAACGGGCGAACTAACATTATAAACATTCTGCATGCCTTAGTTCTTAATTGTACCACTAACATGTTACAGTACACTGTGCGCAATAAAACCAAAACCTTTCACATGCCTGCTTTAAATATTGTTTAAATGTGCAACGTATAAGTGTATGGTTTTTGCCAGTTGCACATTTCTGAATCTTAAATCGTATGGGAGAGAGTTATGTCACTTTTAAATAGTGGATAACTCAAGAATAGATATATAGCCTGGAACGTTGACCTGATATATCAAGCTCTCCTTGTTTCTGATTTGTTTCATTTATCTCCCAGTCCTTTGCTGCATACCACCAGTGAATGTTACCTATAGTCAAGGACTGGGTACTTTTCAACTTAGTTTGTTCTGGTTCCTGAATAAGTAAGACAGCCCATGTCCTCCTGCATTGTTCTCAGATACTTTATACAGAGCTAGAAAAACTATAAGATAAGAAATCTGTTGTTATCTGTCGGAAATAACTCACTGTTTGAACCCACCTTTGGGTGTATTTTGAACGATGTTTCTCATTGTTTTGGTTTTTTGAAGTGGCAATGAAATGACAAAATCCCAGCATAATTCAAAATATTATCTCTGTCATAAATTACATTTTAAGTACTATTTTATCAGGCTGTTAAAGAGCATAGCAGTGATATTAGCAGTAGTTTATCATTTGAATTTCCTGTCAGTTTATTATTTGAATGTCCAATAAATGTCTTCAGGTTTTGGTCTTTCTTTAGTTCAGTGGATATTTATCTCACTCAATTACTATTAAAGCAGAAATACTTTCTCACAAGACAACTTTAGTGGAGTGAGATTGAGACGCAAGCATTATCCCTGTTGCTATATACATGACAACATTGTAAAACAGATGTATACTCCTTCTTGGCCTTCAATCCATTCATTCATAAGCGGACTTATGAATAGACTTATGAAAAGTCTGTTTTTTTGAATAATTATACAATTTATAAAGGGCACATAATTACTGTGAATATACTCTTCAAGACTCTTACAGATGTTGTATGTTCAAGTAAGTTATCTCATTCAACTCAATTTGAATCAGACAAGAAAATGTTTCCTTATGTAAAACTAAGTAGCAGTGGACATTTGATTTGGCCATATCCTTAGAAACGACTAGGAAATTGCATCTAGAGACTGGGAACATATTCCCTCGGCTGTGAAAGGTGACGACCAGCGAGTGGCTTTTTACCTTCTCCCGTCTTGCCTCCCCGATGCTGTAGAAAACCACAAGGGGCCCGGCCTAAGCCCCCAGGGCACGCCAGCTGTGATCGTCAACGGGAAGGACGACCTGCACGAGGTGGAGGAGGACTTGGCCAAGAGGGTCAGCCAGCTGACCACCAGCACCATGGAGAGCGTGGAGATCACCAAGCCGGGAGAGAAGATCGAAGAGGCCCTGTCCCCCGAGAGCTCGCCCTCCAAATCCCCCAACAAGAAGAAGAAGAAGTTCCGCACGCCTTCCTTCCTCAAGAAAAACAAAAAGAAGGAGAAAGCGGAGGCCTAAGAAGAAGCGAATCAAGTCCTTTCATTTTGTTGGTTTGTTTTTTTATTTGGATTTTTTTTCTAACGATTTATTTTTTCTGGTTAAAAAAAAATGACTGCACAATTTAAAACACAGTGAAAAGAAAACTAGAAACTGAGGTAACAGATCTCAAGGGTGCAATGGGGGTCGGGGTGAAATTTAAAGATTGGATTTCTAATGTGAGCCAAACTGGAGTGGAAATAAGTCCTGGATATCTGCCTCCTCCTAATTCCAGTCTCTTTTGCCAAGGGCTGATATGAAATATGATTTTTTTATTGCTTCTGTATTACTGTTAACATTGGGTGGGTGATACAAAATACAAAGTGGCAGAGTTCTTCTGTTCTTCCTTGACTCCACCCAGTTCAGCAGTAGCTGTCAGTGTTACCCACCTTTGGTTATGAAACAAAGGTCTTGTTTGTGTGTTGCCACTATTTGGAAGACTTAGTAATGTTTTCTGTCTGCTGGTTCCTGGAAGCATGGATAACCACACTAGAAATTCCATACAGGATAAGTGACTGCCACACTGGAAACTAACAGATCATCAGTAATTACAGGGTTTCTGATACACATAGAAGATTAATGGGTCTATATTTACATGGGTCTGTACAGGTGGACCTTCTATTTGCATGCCTGTACTTTTTATTTTCAGAGAAGTTTTTAATTCTGCACTGACTCAGAAATTGTTGGAAAAACCTGTGTAGTGTTTTATTTGGAGCTTTTCTTCAAAGCACATATTTGTTCCATTTAGTTTCCTTTTTTGTTTTTGCCAAAAGAAAAGAAGCTCACGTTTTAGTGAATCATAATCTCGGAAAAGTCATTATTTTTCTCTTTTAGATTTACTTGCATTTACATTTAAAAAATGGAGAAAAGGATCATCTCACTGAATAAACTTTTTTTTTATTCAATTCAAATCTGGTATTAATCCAATCGGTTTTATACTTATTTCTATACAAACGTCAGCATGTTTTGCAAGAAATCGTATTGAGCTGAAAACCTAGTAACGCCTGGGTTCTTAAATTTAGCATTGTTGCAGACAGTGTAGCTCAGATTACTAAAAAAAGTATAGATTATATATAAAAAAACTGGATTTTGTGGTTATAGATAGATTTTTTTAATTATATATTTTTATTTTACTTCACTGCACTTTTCTAATGGTATATAATAAATCATACACACAGGTGTTCAGAAATCTTACCAAAATGAAGGAGAATTAGATTTAAAGTGAAAGACTGTGGTTGGGCGAGTTAGAGAACTGATTCTGTAAGGTATATGCTTTAGGTTTTTGAAAGTCAGTTATGTTGGACAGTGCTTTGTAATTGTGAAAAATAATCCCACTTAAAGATGGTTGTAATAAAAACACATCTCAGAAAATGAAGATTGGTTCTTAGCTTGGTCCCCATGCAGTTCTCAACCTACCATTCTAAATTCCAGCCAGGCCTAACAAAGGTAGCAGCTGGTGATCATATTTTAAAATGAAAGAGTATTACCAGAATCATTAAGTGAGAGGTAAAGATTTGGGGAGGAACAGTTAAGCATCATTTTCCCCTTCAAAACCAGCTGTCATTTTAGTGTTGAAAGCCTTGTTGGCAGCTAGATGGGGCTTGTATTGGAAGTTCTCATTCAACCCAATTTGAATCGGACAAGAAAATGTTTCCATATGTAAAACTAAATAGGAGTGGACATCTTTAAGTCCATTTAGATTAAGTCCTAGAGTCTGAAATTGCATGTAGACACTGGGAACATATTCCTTCAGCTGTAAAAGGTGACGATTTGTGAGCGGCTTTTTAACTTCTCCCATCTTGCCTCCCTGATGCTGTAGAAAACCACAAGGAGCCTAGCCTGAGCCCCCAGGGCACGCTGGCTGTGATCCAAAAGCCCCCCCACCCTCTCTCCCAGAAGCAGCTGTGTTGGAAGCCTTATTTGCAGCTATAAGTGTGATTCCATGGACTTGCTTGTCTCTGCAGACGTGGCGTGGGGCTCGTCTTGGAGTCCTCCCGGTACCACTTTTCAATTCTCCCTTCCTTATGCCAAGCTCCACTGCAAGTGATTCCTGCCCTTCCGTTTCTTCTTTATCCGTTACATTTCAAGACTAGGCAGCTTTTTTTATCCTTGGGAGCCGTTTCTGCACTGGCGGTGGTGAGGGAGAATGAAAAATCATTGTCTTTGCAGGTCACCCACGCCATACCTACAGTACCCCCAAAGCGCCCAGGCATTAAGCAGTAAAACAACTGTGTGTTTTCATGAGTTACTGAGAGGTTATCTGCATGCCCTCTTACATCTTCATCTCCAGGTAGTTTTATTATGATGTTCCTCTGACTTCCTCATCCCACCCCCCCCCCTCTACTCCAATGTAAATGTGTTGGTAGATAACGTCAAGTGAAATAAGCGTGCCCTGGGTTGTACAGTACTGTTTGCTTTTAATTGTAAAGCAGCTTTTGTTTTTAATTTTTTCATGATGATTTGGATCATGTCTTCAAAATAAAATCCAAAAAGAGAACACAGAATGGATAGACATCTGTCAAATGAGAGATGCTAATATCCCAGCTAGCAATGTGAATTATTTCCTTTGGCAAGAGAGGAGAGGAACCTTTAAACTTTGTATATAGCATGTGGCTTAGTGTTGGCCCAGGTTTGGAAAGAGCAAACATGAAAGTTCGAGAATGGGGTGCGCGTTTCTTGAGGAGAAATAAACTAATACTGGAAAAACACCCTTTGGTAACATCTTGTTTTAACTTTACTGTCCATGTGCTTACTTTTATTTTTTTGTGCTCAAATGTAATTTTAACATTTTCCATAACTATTTTACAGTATATTTTATGAAATAGTTTTCTGAGCATTATGCTTCTAATAACCATTCACAGGCATACATTGTTGCTGAATGGATGTGCATTGCTTTTTTTTTTCCAGACTTGTGCACCTTGTTTTACTGATGCCTCTTTTTTTGTTCTATTTGTTTGAATTTACTTTGGCACTTGAGAATGAGCCAAGCCTTTCTGTGACCTGTGGAAGCTATATAAATGGTTATCTAATGGAGTTGCATTTTTTAGATGTATTGCTATGTAAATTCACAAAATAAAACAGTATTTTAAGGAACAATTGCCATTTTTAACTCTGTAAACATGGGGACATGGTCTTGAATGAAAGGAGAACTCAACTACAATGGTACTTATGCAAATAAATATTCTGTTGCATTTTGGCTATTTCATTCATAGATGTGGTAACACAACGTTCTGTGGTGTCCCTTGCATACAACAGAAACTTTGCCCTAATCCTGAGGGGTGTGTGGCGTTAACAGACAGTGTAAGAATACTCCAATTGGGTGTACTGCAAAACATTTGCTCAGTCTGAAATCTAACACTTCAGTCACCCCATACCAGAAAATCAGGACTTCTAATCTAGTGGTTATTTTACACCATAGAAAAGAAATGTCTAAAAAGAAAAGCATGCTTTTAAAAATTGTTCAATTCGTCCAAAAATCCTTCAAGTGCATGGTCTGACGATTCTATGCAACATGTACAACACAGTACATGACAAGCAATATGTTTTAGAACGCATTAAAATAAAAGTGGTATTATAGGGCTAGTCATGCCTCATACAAGTCAAGATCAAGCTATTATGATAGTCATGGAAGCTTAATTCTTGTTTCTATATTGATGACAATTAGACATAGATGCCATTAGACATTTCATTCGACCATAGTTGTGTAGTTAACGCATCGTAAGGTTTCCCATTTTCAGATATCAATAGTGGTAAAAAATCCAGCCTTTAAAAGCCAGTTTGTCCTATACAGATGCATTTGCTTGTGATAGTGCATCATGGGAGTAACACATTTCAATTCACCTCATAGATGAACTTGTACCTCCAAAGTCTGTTCACAAGTAAGCCAGGCACATAGATAGTGAAACCTTGACAGAAATATATATGAAAAAGCTGTTTTCCAAAGAAAATCCACATTGGGAGCAGGTGTGACTAGGAGAATTTACTCTTAATATTGCCATTTTTTGCAGTTAATTAAAAGTTAAGTGTTATGAAGGAACAACAAGAGTGTGCCATTGTGCCTTGACACAGTTATTCCCCTGATGCACTATATGAAATATGCAATAGATGCATCGGTTTGTATGGAAATTTAGAACTAAAAAAAATGAATTGCCTTTCAAAAATACATCTAATTTGTTGAGTTCTCTTTTTTCCCAAAAGTTTTTTTTTCCTTGAAGTTGTACTTTGTGTCAAATAGAACGCTGACTGTGCAGTGCTGATAGTTTAAATCCTTCTCTAACCTTTATCCTCTTTTAACAAAAGCTTCTTTTGCTTTCTGAAAAATATATTTTTAAATAAAATGTTCCTGTAAAGCAACTTAACTGCATTTGGTACCTGCACATGAAGGAATGTAAAACAAAGGTGGCACTCTGTATAGCTTCTTTGCTTTAAAAATTAAATGCATCTAAACGCAAAGGGTCGTGGGTCCTTTTGTATTTCAGCTTTTGCATCACCTCAGCAGGCTATGTATTAAAATACAAATAAAGCTTCAATCTTCATTAGCTGTATGCAATATTCTTTAAATACTGTCCAGCCATATTTTCAGAATTCACTCATTTAATCTCAATGAACATTAAAACATTGTCATTTAATGAGTGAAAATTCTAATTTCTACACAATGATCTGTAGACTTCAACAAAGCCGACTAAATAACTTATCATTATCATTATCATTGTTAGAGATTGTTAGATGTTATCTTTGTGAGAGAAGTTTAATATAATATTATAATTATTAATATATATGTGAGTGACTCTGTTGGAGGTAAAATAGGTTCTGATAATGTTATATGATTTAATACATTTTGGGTTCCTAAAAACTGAAAAAGTTAGAAAACTGCTGAAGGATGTTTTTTCTAAAAAATATGCCAAAATTATAATTATGAACTACTTGGGAGATTTTCAAAGGGCTGTCCAGTCTGTCACACTGTGTACACAAAGCAGTCCAGTCTTCTAATGTGTAAATATGGTTAGTGTCCTTTGTGGTTACATTACTAAGCCATGTGTCTTCAATCAATCCCTGTGCCTGGAGAGCTAAAGAAATTAAATTCAGAAATTAATGCTGATGTACCTTTTACTTCACTAAAGTGCTGTTTGTCATCCACAAGAAATGAAAAGGCCTTTTCTCCTTTTTCAGACAGTTCAAATATACTGTAATGCAAATGTTTCAGTGAATTTTGTGTGCATTTATCAATTTAACTTCAAAAAGTTATATACCTGGTGTGTAACATTACAATTTAATCAGTAAAAAAAATAATAAAACTATAATCAGTCGAGTGAAACTAAAGACTTTCTTAACCACAATTTGGAGAGCACGTACTGCTGCTCCAAAATGCCTTTGCCTGTATGCTCCCACTTATTGAGCAACAGTGAATAATATGTTTTTTTGCAAGAAAATGCTAATATCTTTAATGTATTTTGTCATTGCATAGTTTAAGCTATGTCGGTTAAAGAATGAACAGTGTTTATTGTGGCCTTCGTATTAGCAATTTTTATATAGATTTAGTGGCAAAGTGAAATACCATATCTGTTCCAGGGTGGAACCAGATTTTAAACAATGGGCAGAATTCCAGTCAGAGTAATGTGTCCAAGTTTCTTTAAAGAAACATTCTTGTTTGGGATAGCAGGGACTCCTGCGGTACAGACAGTGCCTAGTGTGCTTGTCATTACCAGAGTTCCCTAAGTAATGCTACAAAATTGCTTGAGCATTGCTAGAGTCATCTAGGCTTCCATCATGGTATCCTGTGCACTAGGGACCCCTACGTGACCCCCTCCTTGAGCGCTTGTGAACTTGAAGTGTTTTCAGCCAAATCACCCTCATGGTTATTTCTGCAAAATCTGCTGGAGGACTTGGCGGTGTTTAATATGGCTCTGACAGGAAGACAGGGGTCTTCATCTTGTACAATTCTGGTATGACGGTCACAGTGGAAAAGGAGGGCTTGAAAATTAGCTATCGCAAACTTCTTGGTAATGTACATTAAGTCTGCGGTCTAGAACATGAGTAATTAAGGGAAGACTCTTGCTCATGTTCCCCTTGTGTGCAGGCAACTGCTGAAAACAGGTAGTATTTTATGATTTGGGGCTTTTGTGACCACTTAAAGAACAAACATTCAATTCAGCCCAAGTCAAAGTTGTGTGAGAGACATAGGAATCGGGTATAGGAAACTGCATGCCTAGTGGGATAAAATTTAAAATTATTCATTTAAACCTGCAATTAAACAGCACAACAAGAAGGTAATGCCAAAGCTCGATTGAATGTTCTCGGCTCTAAATGACCACGTAAGATTGTGAACTTCTTTGACCCCAGCAGCATCTTTTGCAAACAAGCACAGAACAGTAAAAATGGCACACATTTACCACCAGAGAAGGGTGATGGGAATTTACCTCTTGGTTCCCTGCTTAGTTGACTCAGCTTGTTGCTGCAATTAAACCATTCCCAGGGTCTGACAGAGAGCACACACTCTTCCCAGCAAAGAATGGCGTTGCTACAGTTACAGCTTGTAAGTACATTTGCTGAAGGGGGCAGGCACTGCAAGAAAACTCCATTGACAACCAGCCTTTTGAAAGTTCGTAAGTCACCAGGCCACACACTACAAAAGCAGCAAAACTGTTGTAAGTGAAGGGGGAAAATAAAGTTATTTTCCAACCCTGAACAGTCAACAGCTCTGTCTATGAGGGTTGTTCACAAGGTAGAAGAGATGCCAGCCACTGCATGAAATGGTTGTTTCTTGCCATGTGACTGGGGAAAAAAAGGAAGATGTGTGGTTCAAGCATGCTCTCAGAATCTGGCAGGAACCAAGGAAAGATCGAAACCAGACAAATTGTCAGAGAGGAGTAAGGGAAAATGATGGGCCTGTTTCATGTTAAGAAGTGTCTGTAATTGCATTCATTTTTAATACTTGTTACCTGGTGTAACATTAGAATAATGAAACATTAACTTTTTTCATGTTTTTTAGCTTTTAAAAAAATCTTTGGCATTTAAAATGCAACAGTATTGATATTTAAAAGAAATTAATTTATCCTTTTTTAATGTAGAAACATTTTTACCACTGAGGAGAAAAAAAGATCTTTTTATGAAATGCCACAGCATAATATAGTTATTGTTAAGTTTTGGGGATCTGCGAGTACCTATATACAGTTGACTAATTTCTAAAAGGAACCATGAAACACCTCTTGGGTTTGGTTTGGTTTCCATGGCAGTAATTTACCAAGGCAGGATCTGCTTACCAATAACAGGTGTTCAAGCTAAGGAAAGAGTGAATAATCTTCAAACTGACTTCAAGCCAGTAATCCAGGCTTCACGTTATTCTCCCAGGAGATCCTACATCTTAATCATCATTTCCCACCACCACATGTATTTTTAACACCTGCATTTTTTAGCATTGTGCAAAACAAGTTCTCATTTAAATTAAATGTCTGAAATGTGGGCGTGCTGGTGTTGATTTTTTTTTCAATATGGTCATGTGAAGCCCAGAATAAAAAAACGGTATTCTGGGCTTTGATGTAGGTACGGTGAAAGAAAAGGAAAAAGCACCCGGGCTTATGGTGACAAAAATATACAGTGAAAAAGTCTACTATGAAAGATCACACATAAATAAAATACACATACTGTATAGGCCTCATGAACTTTTCAAGTTTCCTTAAATTAAAAGCTAGACTGATCGCAAAATAAATAAGGCTGACGTGTGGGTACGCTGGGCCTGTTTCGTCTTCATCCTCCCAGCTTTCTTAACCACTGGGTATGCAGAGCTCCTGGCCTGGGTCTGTGCCCATGGCTGTAAGGAGCAGATGGTACTCTGGGAGTGTCGTGCTCGAGTGACGACCTGCCACGTCTGCCCGGCTGCGCTGACCTTTCCCTCGGAGGCCGGCGATTGTGCAGTGACAATGGGGACATGCGTGTGCTTGTGTGGACGAGCTGGGAGGAGGGGGCCTGGGGAGGGATGGGGCTTTTATTCCCACCATAATGATGATAGGCAGGTGGATGTACATGCTCAGGGACAATGTGTTAATGGGGAAGGCTGTGTCTTTTTCGGGACCACAAGCAACACTTGCAGCACCGAGACTGGTCACGCTCCACTGGGTAGCATACTGCAAAGAGAGTTGCATCTCCCATGAAGAGGTCAATAAGGGATGGCCTCTGCAGAATTAGATGAATCTCCATTTTTGCCTTGAGGTGTTTTCTTTTTCCCGAACACCCAAGGACTTAATGGGAGAGTAAGAGTTTCTGAGTGACACTGATGGATGCTGGCGAATTTGTTGCCACTTTTTTAATTTCCTTGTTTTCCCCATTTAAAACCATTTTCTTAAGCTGTTCCTAATTGTAGAGCTATGTACATGTTGTTACAGTTCTGTGTAAGAATTCTCTATGGCCATAAATGACAAAGGTATGAGAAAGAAGTTTTAATTAAATCTGTCCTGCTAGAGCAAAACTGTGGCAACTGCAAGAACTACCCAGGTATTTCAGCAATATATACAAAATTGTACTGTATGACTTCCAGTTGTGCTTGGCTATATTTGTATATCCCTCCTCTATGACAATGATGAGACATTACTTGAAGTATTTACCTCTGAAAGCAAAAAAGGGTTCTGTATTGTACAAAAAGCCTGTAAAAAGTGTCTGATCACAATATGTCAATCCAATCTGTTAACTCAATCCATTATCACCTATCTGCAGTCAGTGTCTTCACCAGAAATGGATTTCCACAATATTCCCATTCCAGGCTGTCCTAAGGAATTTAACTTGATGGATAGTTTGCCACACCCTCCATATAGCCACTCTTTTAAAGGACACACCATTGGCAGTCTCTGTACCCTGGAAACTTTCCAGGTACCACTTTCATATCATAATCCTAATACTTCTTGGTGTTTATAAAGACACTGTAGTACAACATAGTACTGCCTTTTACACAGCTTCTGTTTGTGGGATATCATGGGTTTACCTGATTATTTTTCTTTCAACTTGAATATGTTAATGTTACAAAATGAACACACAAAAACCACAAATCTAATGCTATTAACTATTAACTATATAGACCAGATTAAAGAGTGTATATCAGTCTTGTTTCTTCAAAGCTAGGTGTAAGTCTGAAATGTTCCAGAGTTGTCCTGAATCCGCCTCTGAGTCTTAAATTAAAAAGGGATTACTGCTTGGAACAGTGAAGCAATGAGGGTAATTTCCTGCTGCATCTGGCCTTCCCAACTGCGAACAGAAACTGAGAAGGAGAACTTTGACTGTACTGCCTTAGTGACAGCCGTGTGCCAGAGGGAAGCCTAAGGCTTTGCAGATTAGAGGGGATCAGGTTCATCCTGTACCTGTGAGCTCCCTGTCTCTTCGGTGATGAAGGCAGTCAGTGCCCCACTTTTAAAGGTCATGGTGAGCCACACCTGCCTATTACACAAGGGTCACAGTAATGTGATACTCTTAGGACTCTGCCATATCACCAGGAGAAGTCAATGAGTTGCAGACCTTGGGAAATCACACTGGGATTTAAGACTGCAAGTGC